ATACATGGGTCTTTTTTTTCTTATCCAATTCATTACCCTATGTCTTTTGATTAGGACATTTAATCCATTTACATTTAAAGTTATTATTGATAGCTACTTATTTGTTACCATTTTTATTTTTTACCCCCGTGTTCCTTCTTTGCTTCCTATTTCTTTTTTTTTTTACAGCAGACCCTTTAGCATTTATTGAATTGTTGTTTTGGTGGTGATAAATTCCCTTAGTCCTTTTTTATATATGAAGCTCCTGATTTCACCTTCAATTTTGATTGATATCCTTTCTGGGTATGATATTCTTGGATTTGGACCCTTCCTTTGCATGACTTTGTATATTTCATTCCATTCCTTTCTTGCCTCATGAGTTTGTGTTGAGAAATCAGTTGCTAGTCTGATGGGAGTTTCTTTGTATGTAACTTTCTGTCTCTCTCTGGCAGCTTTTAAGATTCTTAGTTTGTGGTTGGTGTTTGCCAATTTAATTACAATGTCCTTTGGTATTGGTCTTTTGCGGTTCATTTTGCTAGAAACTCTGTGAGCTTCTTGGATTTGTATGTGTTTTTTCTTCTTTTTATCAGGGAAATTTTTTGTTATTTCTTCAAACAAGTTTTCTATTTCTTGCTCAGTTTACTCTCCATCTGAATCCATATTATGTGGATGTTGTTTTGTTTCATGTTGTCCCAAAGTTCCCTTAGGCTCTCCTGCTTTTTAATTTTTTTTCCAGAAGCTACTCTACTTGGGTATTTTTTTTCCATATTGTCTTCTAGCTCACTGATGCAGTCCTCTGCTTCTTCTAGTCTACTCTTAGTGCTTTCTATTGAGTTCTTTACAGCAGCAATATAATTTTTAATTTCCTCTTGGTTCTTACTCATATTGTCAAATTTGCCTTTCATTCTTTTCAGTCATTCTTTTATGACCATTTCTCCAAATTCTTTCTCTGATAAGTTTATTGCCTCTAATTCTTTTACTTCCTTTTCTGGTGATGCCTGCTTTTTTTCATATGTGGGCTGTTTCTTTGTCTCCCTTCTCCAGATATCTAGTTATGTAGTTCTCTCTCCTCTGTGTTGATTTAAAGGCACAAAATACAACACAACCATGTACAACACACAAGGCACTGAACAGAAATGTATTCATGATAGTAATAACCTCCAACAAACATGACTACCAGAGAAAGGACAATTAGGGGATAGGAGAGAAAGAAGAAGAGTATAAAGAAAGAAAGGGGGGCGGGAAGAAGTGTCAAAATGAAATTGAAAAAAGGAAAAGAAAAAGTAAGAAAGGCAATAATGATACTAAAAGAGAAAAGGGGAACAAATTATATACATGGGGAGAAAACTGCAATAGAACAACCACTAATTGCAGCAAATGCCAGCAACAAGAACCTAGATATTAATACAAACTACAACACCAACAAATATCAAACAAGACAAAGGAAAACAGAAGTAAAAAATAAACAAAAACAAAGTAAACAAACAAAAAATGAATAAGTAAAATAATCTCACAAAAAAGCATAAAAATTGATATAATCAACATTCAAGCAAACAACAACAAAAGGACAGAGATAAAAACAATATTTTGTATAGTTTAGACAGAAGAGAAAAGTGTGTATTGACTTGGAGCAGGGGATTGCAAATTTGCTGTATAAGTAGGACTAAATTTTAGCAGGGGGTAAACAGAAAGAATAGGGAAAATCTAAAGCAGGAAAGGGATAAGAGAAATAAGACACCAAATGGGGAAAGGTTAGGAAGAGAGTGATGGCATAAATGTAGAGTTGAGATAGGGTAAAATGATGCTAAAGGAAAGACGAAAATATAATGTAGAACACCAATCCCAAAGTAAAATAATGTGAAAACAAAATGACATTTTTTAAAAAGATGGTAAAATAGTAGTATAGTGCTGATTGAAAATAAAAATGTAATAATTAAAAAGGTAAAATTAAGTGAGGAAAAAAGAAAAAACTAGTTTCTTAAGTAAAAGATGCAAAAAATGAAAACAAAAATTAAAATACAAAATAAAAAAATAAAATGTGCAGTAGTGAAGGTCATTCACTTCCTCTGTTGTTCTGTTTGGCATGCCTGTTTCCAGTCTGGACAGTATTGCAGTTCCCTGCATTCCACTGCTCCTCAGTGTTATTATATAAGCCAGTCCTGATTTTTAAGCAGATGGTGTCTTAATTTCTTGTATTCCTTTATTTTTGATTACACAAGAGTCAATTTGTGATTCAGCCCTTGGGTGGCAGTGTTTCTGGATTGACTTCCGTGTCTCTATGGCCTCTCTAGCCTTCTTTCCTTGTGGCACTCAATACCAGTTTATGTAGGTGGGCTGTCTCAGAGCTGGCTCTCTGATGGTCACTCACAGCTCTGATCTCCAGGTTCCAGAAAAACAACTTCACCCTTCAGTCTCCCAGGGTGTCCCCAACTGGGTGATCCTTGCTTAGTAATCAGAAGCAAAGAAATGTAGAGGAAAAAGCATAAGTCTTAGCAGCCAGCACATCTCTGAAATTCTTAGGCTGTCCCTCTGCATCTGATCAAAATGGGTTACTTTTTAGAGATCCCTATTAGCAGTTCTGAGGATCCCCTTTCACATTCATGGATCATGCTAGCCCCAATAGCCATGAACTTTTCTAGGCACAGACTTCCTGGTCTTCCAGCTCCCACAATGCACGAGTTTCTCTCTTCCACTGGGACCAGAGACTGCACGTTATCCCTGGTGAAATCTGACCTTTCTGTGGTGGAGTGAAGAGCTCCTTTGAATCTGCATGTTTGTGCCAATTGGGGACAGGTATTCTGGGGCTCCCAGCTGTTTGGTGGTTGCTGCAGATGTGGATTTTTAGGCTTCTGATAAGATCCACTCTCCCTTTCAAGATGGCACAATTTCTTCATCTGATCCCTTAGCTCCAGAAGGGGACCCAGCTACAGTGGGGGCTATCAGGTCAGGGGAACCCTGACTAGCAGTCCCCGATCTTCTCCTGGAGTTTAGCTGGCCCTTAGCTTGCTAACATACACTCCCTCGGCTAACCTCAGCTATTCTTTCTTTCTCCTCCAGGATAAGGCTTGGAACATGTCTGTCTATTTGTCTGCCATTTTCTTGCTCCTAGAAAGATATTTAATGTAGTGACAATCTACTGTGTTAGGATTCTTAGTGCAAAAGCTGTATATAAAATACTATACACATTATGACTTCAATATCATGATTTATATATGTACTAGAGGCCTGGTGCATGAAAATTTATGTATGGAAGGGGATTTCCTCAGCCCGGTCTGCTCCCTCTCAGTCCAGGAGCCCTCAGAGGTGAAAGGTGATCCAGAGATCAGGGGAAGGCAATGCCCCCATCACACCTCTGCTGCTGCCACTGCAAACAGCAAAAGCCTTGGCTGACCCTGGTTACTTGAGTCTTGGGTGGCCCTGAGAAGCTGGGCAGTGACATCCAAGGCTTGCCTGCACCTTGGGCTGGCTCTGGGTGGCTGGGGGGACTGAGAGGACTGGGGGACTCCAGAAGCAGTTTCATGGAGCAGCCTGACCCACCTGGGGGCAGGCCGGGTAGTATCACATGCCTGCTTTCCTGGTGGAAATGAGCAATCAGAGGGGACTGGGTGCTGCCATCTTGTGGCTGTGGGTGCCACCATCTTTGTGAGGGTACGATGGTCAACTAGCATACTCCGTCTTTATTAGATAGGATGAGTATATAATGAATACAAAAAAGTAAAGTAAAATGCACCAAAGGATTAAAAATGGTAATTTTGAGTGAAAATATCTATAAAAGACTTATTTGTATGCTTGTCAATATTGTATACATTTCTTACAGTGATCATGTATCTAATTAGAAAAATCCTAATATTAAAAATGTGTCAAATAATGTATTAGTGTAGTGTTATAAGGAATGAGTTTCTTTGTTACATAAAAAACTTGGGAAAATTCAAAATGAGGTATTTATTCCATGCTGTTCAGTAGAATGAAATGTATTCCTTATCATTTCAATGACAGGATATAACATCTATAACCAACAGGACTAAACCATCAACTGTATCAAAATTTAAGTTGAAACATGTTTGTTCTTATTCATGGTTCTCTTGTTTTAAAAATAAATCAGCATCTCTTTTAAAAAACGAAGGTGAAATCTTTTAAGAAATGAAGATGAAATTCATTACAATAAAATTATTTTATTTTAATGTAAATATAAGTTTACCAGATTTTAATAAAGTAACAACAATTTAGAGATATAGATGTACATATACATATATAGGTAGAATATATACTTTTTAAAAACAGTAAGGCATACTTTATGATATATAATCTTTTCTCAGATATGAAATGAAAGTAGTGACTAGAAAGACACTATGACCTGGGGCAAGAGTTAACATCTTTATAAGTAGTTTTACTTTTATAGATGACTTTAGTAACAGCATTATACAAATAAGCCATTTGGCTGGCATATTTTGGCAGTATGAATCAGTAAGACAATGGTTGAATTTTGCAAGTTTTGAAACTACAACCGCTGCTTAGCAAGTCTTTGTAGTAATGTGATGTGTGGTAGCAGGTGCAAGTGAACCACAGTTACTAATGGCTAAACACAAAAGTTTTACTGCATTTTGGTCACTAGGGAGAGCAAGTTTGAGCCCTGATCTCCTGCTGCTTTTCTAAAGGTTTAACATATTCTAAACACCTTTGCATGGAAATGAAAAATAGGAGAACAAGAGCAGGCTGGGGAGATGGCATTTCCACCAGTAAAATGTTTCCAAATCAATGCAGTTATCCAGTTTCTGACATTGGCCTTTGAGCAGCCATCATCTATCTTATGCAAAATGTGACAAATGTGGCTTTGCTTAATTTTGTTGCAAAGGAAAATTTTTGTTCAGAGCTTTCAAAAATTCAGTTCAGTCCACATAATTCGCTTTCTTCTCAAGTTTCTGAAAAGTAGCTGATGCTTATTTGGTAGAGAAATGCTGTAGAGAAATGCTTCTCTTGCTTCTTTTCCCACAAGATTACATCACAGACAGGTTTCAAGTGTCTTACTCAACCTCAGTACATGGGGCAGACTTTTTGGTGGAGGAGTTTCCATTATCTGAGGGGCGGTAGGAAAGCATGCTCATTTTTGTGGATAGACTTGAGTGGGACTTGGCCTTTGGGGGCATGTATTTCAGAAGCTGGAGAAAATATTTTTTAAATTTTTCGCCAAGAAAGCCATAGAAGAGAGGATTAAGGCAATTGTTAAAATAAGCTATGCAAATAGTGATGGGCATGGCAGTGTCAACAATATCTATGATTTTACAGTCATGTATGATGCCCAGTTGAATCAGAACATCCAAGAAAGTGAATATTTGATGGGGAACCCACGAGAAGAAAAAGGAAAGCACAATTGCCATAATTATCTTAAAAATATCATCATTTCTTGGCTTGTTCTTCTGAATTTCATACGCCTTCTTTAGGGTCTTCCAAATAAGAGTATAACTTGTAAGAATGATCATAAAAGGAAATAAGAAACCCAGTATATTCTTGGTTAGGCCTAGCCCTATGGGGAGGGTTGAGTTTTTGAATTCATAATGGAAAGCACACACTGTGATATTGGTGTTTTCAATGAAATATGCATTTCGGTGGATTATAGTTGGCAAACTGGTCAAGGCAGCCAGCAGCCAAATAGTGATGCAGGTGACTTTGGCCACAAGCATTGTGCGCCGAAGGCGGGACTTCATTGGATGAACAATAGCCAGGTAGCGATCAATGCTTAGACATGTGAGTAGAAACACACTGGCATAGAGGTTGAAACTGATACTGGCTGAAGCGATCTTGCATAGGTAATTGCCAAAGGGCCAACGGTATTCCATAGCAGTGTAGACAGCCCACAGTGGCAAAGTCAGTAAAAAGCATAAGTCAGCTAGTGCTAAATTCAAAAGAAAAACACTGGCCACAGTCTTCACTTTCATGTAAAAGTAAATAACAATTACCACCAAGCTGTTTCCAAATATTCCTACCACAAAGATGATGCTGTATAAAGTAGGGATCATGACAAATATGTAATTGTGTCGTCCAGCTTTGGGACAGTCATCTTGGATTCTTTTAATACCATCTTCAGTGGAAGAATTGGAGATCATTCTGACCTTCTGGGTTAATTAATCTCAGATACTAATGCCAGTGCACCTGGAAAAAAATAAAAATGGAAAGGTAAAAATGAATTAACTTTCAGTAATAAATGAGTATTTTTAGTTCTCAATCATAAGTACAGTAACTCAACTTTGATTTTAGAAGAAAAAAACTAGATCATATTTGTGGAGAGTGGCTACAGTGTTTGGACAGGTTCAAGCCTTGGACTAATGAAAGGGCACAATCTTCTCAGTGCAAGTCTCAGCTTGGAGGGCAGAGCCCTCCATGCACAATTATAGCCAAAAGCTATAGTTGTAAGCTTGATCCTATGGTCTGAACATTTGGGCCCATGTACCTGAGTGATGTGGGCTTTCTATAGTTCAGGTGCATGTAACTGAGTAGATTCGAAACCCATGAGAACATTGTAACTGTGCCCTTACTTTTCCTTGTGGAATCTGACTATAAAATAAAGAGATGACTTACAGGCCATGGTGCAGTCACTAGTTCTCCACTAGTTCTGAGGACAGCATCATACACAGACCTAGCTTTCATTCTCTTGTCTGTCTTTTCTAAATCCTTCATCGCTCCCTCTCGTGTTCACTAAACCTAGCTGAACTGGCTTGTCACACCTATTTCCTAGAGAAAAACTGTGAATAAAGTCTACATTGTACATTCAAGTTAATTTTGAGAGCATATTAATTTCCTGGAAAGTGATAATATCCTCCAGACAAGCAGAAGTGGAGTTCTATGTGAATAAAATGATCTAGATCCTTTATGTGCATTTTTTTTCTAGAAGTAAATAAATTCAAATTGATTTAAAAACAATCTGAATCTCAGAAAATATTACTGAATTAAATTAGTCTTGACAGACTTGAGTTTTTCTTGAGGTAAACAAGGTCAATTAATTTAATTTGTCTTTAATCTCAAAAGTGTGACACTTCTGTACTTATTTTTTAAACAAATTATTTAATCTCACAATCTTTACTTAGGTATAAAAATGATCAGCCACCCCCCCCCCCTTAAGTGGTCAGAAGAGCTATCTCTAGGTTTATGAGGAATTGGTGATCATGGAAATTGATGTAAGAGGGGAGAAGAGAGAGGGAATAGTATTCTTTCCATTATTTTTCAGGCCACTACAGGCAGTAACCACATTCTTTAACTTGCAACTCAGTCTTGCACATGCTCTGAATCTCCTAACTTTTCTATCCATTTCTGGAATTAACTTAAACATTAACCATCTGTATAACAAGGATCACAAATGAATAGATGAAATCAGGATTATCAACATGTCTTTTGTGGGGGCTTGAGATAGTAGCAGTTCTTTAGGATTCGGGGAGGAATCAGATGCTCAGAAAAGGACTCTATAAAGACTTCTGCAAATATTTGCTTAAATATTTTATGTAATCAACAATAAAGCTATTCATTCATGTGATTTAGAAGATCAACCTATTCTGCCCTACATAAGAATCCATCAGAAGACCCTTGGGAGGGAGGCTGACAATGCTGTGAGGGTAACATCACAGGAGGTGGCAAAGGCATCTTTGTGGAAAAGGTCAGCATTGGGCCATGCAGAGCAGTGGTATTGGGTCAAGATCCTATTGCTGCACCAGGAGCAGGTCCCTGAGTGAGCATGGCTACGTATTTCTCTTATAGCAAAGTGTAGTGGGCAATATGAGGGACAGGAATAAGACATTACTAGTCTACCCAGGATAGCTCTGTGTACCATCCAGGAGAGCTGAACAATAAGGCAGTATCCATTTGTGTATAAAGTGTTGTAGAAAAGATGAGAGAAGATTTTAAGAGATAACATTGGGAGTGGCTACTCTCCTATAGATGCAGTTATTCTCCCCATCCAAGTTTCTGGTTCCATGACCTCATTAACTTCTCCTTTTCATTTAGCCTTATGTAATCTAAGTCCCCCATTCCCCTTTTCATTCATAAAAGCTTAGCGTTCACAAACAGGCAAATAGTCACCTCTTTAGGGTAGCCTTCCTAACTTTTCTGGGCAATTGGCTGTTCCATTTTGAGTGGCTTTGGTATTTTGGATGCAGGTTTTGACACTATATGATAATGGTCTGTTAATAACATCTTTTCCACTGGTTTGTCAAGGGTAGGGCCTACCAGTCTAGGCCCAGGCATATTCCAAGGAGGCATGTGCTGAATGTCTGATGAAGAAGAAAGTGAGTGCACAAGTGAGTGAATGAATAGCATATAACCTAAAAGCTAATACTATAGAGTACTAAGACTAATTTCTATGGGGCTAATGAAGTCAATTTACATTCTGCTTTCCAACAATCTCATAGAAAATATTCAAAGACGAACTGGGCTTCACTTGAATGAGAAACCTAAACCAAAATCAAACCAAAACACACACACACAATAACCATAACAAAAAGCCTTTAGAACTTTTTGAAATACATAGTTTACAAATAAAAGATGAAAAGAAAAAATAATTTCAAAGAAATTAGGGCCAGTCTCTCAGGGAGGTAGGACCCATTTCCTCCTTACCCAGGAGATTTCCTTACACTTTGCTGATTTTCAGTTCATTTTATTATAATTATTAAAATTATGCCAAGTTAGAAATATAAATTCATTTTATTAAACAAATATTCTCTATTAAAAATTAAATGCTATATTAAAGGTACATGTGCTGGCAGTCATTTGTACCTTAAGTGGATTAATTTACTTATTTGCTCTCCTAACATCTAGTTGAAATTAGTTGGGTTTTTCCTAGGAAAACATTGGAAATGTCAAGGCTAAAGAATCTCAAAGATTAAAAGCAGATTGGGTGAACTTCATAACTGAAAATCAGGGAAGAGGTAAATATTTGTTTCAGCTTGGGCACAAAAGATAGGAAAAATTAAACTTGATGCATTAGGATCCTTTGGGTGCCCTGAACTTCGGTGCTCTCCTCTTTCTTCTTTCCTCTCTTGGCCCTACTTTGAGGGCACACAACTCAGGTTGAGTTCATTAGTCTTGTATCTAGAGTGAGTGGAATTTTATTGAAGAGGCTGGAACTGTAACCATCACTTATAATATAAAAGAATTTCTCTGGGAAAAGTTTGTGTTTGAGAGGACCAATTTATAAACATAGTTTTGGACAATAATTCCTTCCCAGTCTGAGGTCAGCCATTCCTTCAATTCCCATTAATCCAGATAGGCAAATATTTAATATGTGAAAGTTATTCTGAACAGCTAGGGGAGCATCTCTAGTAATTTTAGTGAGGACTTATAATTTTAATGAGCTTACCATTTGAGAAACTCTGGACATAGCATTGAATATATTAATCAGAAGAAAAGTTTACATAAATGTTTATATAAATAACTACCAGGACTTCCTATCTAGTAAGGAAACAAGTTGTTGGGGGTGGAGGAAAGAGGAGATGAATTTTGAACGATGGAAACAGCAGAGGGTAATGGCAGGATGAAAGGCAGAGAAGCAGAAAATGCAAATAGTGCCTTCAGTGGGAAGTTATTTATTCATCATCTTATATACACTGAAAACCTATTATGTGCTAGGTGAATAGTCACACTTCTCCATCACTTGAGTCTAGTTGGATGCATAGGAGCCTTAAACACTAAATTATCTCCAATGTATTGAATATTCAACCATATAAGAGGCTTATGGAATGCTCTGTATTTACTATTGACCCAACCTAGTGGTGGTGGGGGGATAGGGAAGTGGTCAGGGATGCTTCCCACAGAAGATGGCACTTGGACTTCAGAGGATGTATGGCAAACAGAGTGGTTAGAACTTAAAGGCAACCAGTTGGCCAGCCAAGGTGGAGTAGAGAGTGTACCATAAGTTGAACTTTTCCCTTCTTACAGATGCCTACAGCATCATCTATGGTAAACAGCTCTTTCAATTTAAAGATATTGCACAATCTTCTGGGCAAGGGTTTGGGGTGTGATGTTCACTGGAAGGGAAAGTGACATAAGTCCTAGGAAACAAGAAAAATAATTCTCTGGTCTGCACTGTTTGTTTGTTGCTGTGGTTGTATTTTTAGTATAATCATTTGTAGTGATTGCCTATTTCTTTTTTCCTTCCTTCTTTTAACTTTTGGCCCCCTTACCCATTTCTCCCACTGATTGGCTTCCCTACCTGAGGGCACTCAGGAAAGAAGTTAAAATGGAAGTTGTGATTGGCAGCCATCTTAGGTTGATGCTAAATGGTGGGGAAAAGTGGCTTCTTTTCTCTTTGAAGCTGAAAGGATGCTGGGTGTTGGTGAGCTAACGGAGAGAGAGATGTGTTCTACTGGAAAACAAATTTGTGAGTCCTAGAAAACTGCTACACTTTGTTCATCCTGTTTCTTCTTCCAGTCTGGGTTGGGCAGATAGGGTGCTGATAAGAACACAGGAGGGTCCACCTCCCTCTTTTGGGTCTCACCATAGCTTTCACCCACTTTCTCTAGTAGAAAAGAAGATAGATTTGGAGGCAAAATACTTGTAATGGAATCTTCCTGTTACTTACAAATGTCACTCCAGATCTCTAAACAGGAGCCTCATTTTCCTCATCTGTAGGAACAGTGATCCCATTGCACATGTTGGTTGCAGGGATTAAATGAGGTAATGTGAAATCACTGGGTATATCTTTTGAATTGTGTTTAATAAATGCGTTTTATTGGAATTATTCCTGTTATTTTTTTTTAATGCAAAACAAATGCTGACTCACCTATGGGTCAAGAAAGCATGAGTGATTTTTTAAAAAGGGGGTTGTTATTTATAAATTCTTTCTCTTGCCATTTAAAGGCTAAAAATACCAAACTGTTGTTCTTTCAAAGTATGAGTAAAAAATAATCATGAGCAGCTGAATAAATTTGCCATGAGTCAGGTGGGAACTTTCAGTCTGCTGCAAACACAAGGTTGGCTCAAGGTGGCCACATCACCCACTGCTTGCTTTTGGAGGAGTTACCTGAAATTTCTTGACAGCTTCTCTGACTCTTAAAAACAAGCATAAGGAAGGAGATTTTTAAAAAATTCTAAAAATATTTCCTCAAGACTTTTGACTAGA